GAGTCCTATGTCCTTAGCATAAGAGTATTTGAATAGCCAGTGGAGTGGTACAATAGCATATTGGGGTGGTACAAATTACTTCCCTTAATTTTGCCTGATGATAAAGATTATTTATTTTTACCTACTTGAATTAGTATCCTTATCTACCTGAATCAGTATCCTTATGTACCTGAATCAGTTTTAACATATCTTGGTATAATAACAAACACATTTTTATCTTAGGATGACAAAATAGTTTTCAGTCACAAAATGCACAAATACATGTAGTTGTACTTTTATGGTAAATGAAAACCATAGATACATAAAAACATGCAGCAAATATCACAAAAAACTCTTATATCAAATTCCCAGCCGAATCAAAAGGCAATTGTTTCCTGGAGAATCAGGTTGAAAGACACAGGGGTTTCCATCAGTTTCAACAGAAAAGAAAACCATGATTAATTAGCAATGTCTGACATTGGGCTTGGAGTAAAGGAATGAGGCCAGTATTGCTTAATTTCATTAGCATACAAACCAATGATAACCAAGAACTGGACTTTAAGCCAAATGCGAATCATTTATGTTGTGTGTAACCAGAAAAGTCATTGAAGATAGTCCTTACTGACTTGATTTCACTCTTCTATAAAAAGTTCCAAGGAAGTTTCTAAGATTTTCACCAAATTCACAAGGCTTTTAGACTTTCTTCATTTGTGCAGCTCTCCAGTAAATCAAAGTATTTCTCCAAAAATTGTTTTGAACAGATACAAAAATAAAAGAAAGTATCATATCTTTAGAAAATAGGGCCATAATACATTTCAGTATGGTATTGCACTATCTTCTTTTAGGACAAGTGTTGCATTTGCTCTTGAAAAAGACAAAATGTGGTTCATAAATCCTCGCCTGGACTAAAGGCTTAAGGGAAGATCATCGACTAAAGCTTTGGGCTGCTCTAAGCCGAGTTGAGTTCATCAACTCGACTCTCACGTTTAGATGCCAAGTGATTATATTAAAATAGATTATGGGGAACATAAAGATAACAAGAATCCAAAAATATGCATATAAAAAGAAAAAGAAAAGAATCTGAAACATAGGAAACTGTGCCATATTACTCTAATATCTAGCCAATATCAGTACATGAAAAACAAAACCTATATTTAATGGATATAATCTGAACAATGTGATTGCTACTTCAACTACTGACACAAATGCAAAACTGTAAATACTTTAGCAGATGTTTTCAATTCTGTTATGAATCACAGTTGCATTCCCATACATAATAAAAACAACGGAAATATACAGGGTCCTTTCCTCACGAGAAATTGTGTAAGCGTATATTATGTGTGTGTATCATATATGTGTATACATATATACACACATATATATGCACATTTAATAACATTACAGAGAAGGAACAATTATCTCTGCTTTCAAGATAGAGACCCTGAGGTAGAAGTTGGCAAATTGCTGACTTTACACAGCTGAGCAACAAGGGCAGAAATGGGGTCCAGGTGGCCTAGTGCCAGAGCCTGGGCACTTCACCATGCTTATACTGCACCATGTCTGGTAAGGATTTTGTGTATTCTGATGCTCAAGATTATCTAAACTGAGTTCCAAATTGGAGTATTTTTCCAAGGCATATGGACCTACTCATTTTCCGTGTTATAATAAACTAAAACCTGTCCTCAATTTATTGGCTTTTGAGGGGAAGACATAGCACATAAACTAAATTAGTATTTTGTAATGCCTTTTACAAATCTGCCTTAAGACCATCAAACCTTCTAGAGCCTTTCCAGGATTCATACTAGTCAATAAAGCACACCAGTTCCCAGTGTGGATTCATTTCACTCACTTGAAAACATTCTGCTCTGAAACCAGACTTTCCAACTAGGCTATCTGTCCCCAAACCCCAGAAACCCTACTTTCCTGATGACCTGGCCATATTTGTCTGTCAAGACCTATTTCAAAATAGGTCTTGCTAAAAGATTTACAAAATTGCAGCAAGCAGAAGTCCTCCCATTTCCTTTGATTTTTCATTTTCCTCATCTGGTCTCTCCTGTCTTCTGTCTCTCTCTTCTATCTCTTCTCCTTCTTTCTACTTTCTTTTTTTAAAAAAATATTTTCTGTTTTGCTTTACTATGTTAGCCAAACACCTGCCCTCCTCCTAAACACCACATGTGTCACAAAAAAATATGGACATTTGGAGACATATTTCAAAATGAAACGAGTTGCCCTGTTGAGAAGTTGGATTTTTGATCCTTTTATTTCTAGCTCCCATTTGCTGGGAATGTGATTTCAGTTCCCTGTTCACTTTAACAGATCTATCCTCCGTCTAAAACTATACATATATATATTTATATACACCTACAGACACACACACACATATACATAAACCCATATACACACATGATATATATGTGTGTATATTTATATATTTTCATATATTCTGATACTTCACAGATTATTACAATAGAATTTTATATGAACTTTCCATTATTCTCATTTGCATAGTCAAAGCATTTTTTGTTACAGGAAAAAAAATACTAGACCAGAGATTTTCAGATAATTTGACTGAATATTAGATTTTTATAGATGCTAAATAATTGGTACCAATTTATGTCCTTAATCTATACTATTAAGGTACAAAAATGATATTAGGCTGGTCCAAAACAATGTTCCTTTCCATTACATATCAGATATTAACAGTTGGCTCATTCTCTGCTGGTTTGATAGGATTTAAACTCATAACATTGAAAAGTCAATATAACATTCATTCTTAGGACATTTAAAATATAAAATTGTTGAAGACCTTTAAAGTGAGATAAAATGGGCTCACGACTTGCTTGATTGCATTGTGCTGAGTCATTCTTTGTGCCGTAAGGAGTAAGCAGTTAAGGACAAAGTAAATGTCTTCCTCTTCAGCTTCTGCCTGTGTTCAATTCCCAACAAAAACTTAAAGACAACTGCACAGAGAAGCAAAATAATAACTTTTCCAAAATAATCCAAGTTTCTACTAATGATAAATTCTTTCATCTGAAATATTTTAATAATTTGCTTAATCCACATCTCTGCTCTGTGATTGTAGGACCAAACTTTAGGTAATAGCATTGGACTAAGATTTGTAAACTTTCCAACCTTCTAGGAAATGCCCCAGAAGCAACAGAATTCACAGACAGAAGCAAAATACAGGGCACTACAGTTCAGACAACACAACAAGAGCGTCCACGAGGTTAATCTAAAGGGAGCATGTTTCACAGTGGCTGGACTACCGAGAGCTTGGACTACACAATACAGTATTATAGACAAAAGAATAAGACAAGAGATCTACACATGTTGCCTTGCATTTGTGGTAATCTACACCAATGAAAACATGTACTACAGCTATATTTGATTATGTATGGATATATTTGAAATAGTATACATTGTCTTGATGTTTTTTCTGTAATGTAAATAAACTATTTATATCACACAATATAGTTTTTTCTTTCCCATGTATTTGTTATATATAATAAATACTCAGTGATGAGAAAAAATTGGCATTCTTAAATTTGCGGTATCTCATAACTGTAAATATAATCAGACTAGTACAATCTGTACAGCTACCAATATTTCATGTTTCTTCTCATCTTGAGACAGCACATTAGTTTGTACAGGACTCAGTGGCTAGGTTTTGAGTGATTCCAAGATCAAGGGAAATGATGGTTATTGGAAAAGAGAAAAAAATAATTTACTTTATATCGAGTGAGGATAAAATATTTCAGATCTTCGAATCATCTCTATTTCATCAACTTTCTTCCCTGGCCTTCCATTTTCATCCCTAGAGCAGAAAGATCTCTGGCATATAAACTAAATAAAAGACGAAGGGGAGGGAAAGTGTTTTATAACTCATAAAGGAGAGGGAAAGAAGATATTGGTTTTTATTGGGGAAGTAGCTTAGAATCCCCCAGTTAAGTGCATGTATCTGAAGGATACTGAACAAGTTACATACTAGGTATACACAGAGTGGCAAAATATATTCCATTTAGGTGGGTGGAATTACCAGGGGAAAAACGTAATAATACCATTAAATGTGAAACACCAAAGTCGTGATTTCTCAAGAGCACCATACTATATTTATAGTATATGGTTCTTTGAAAAGAAGTTAGAATCACAACCAATACCCCACGAATAGTTTTATGGCTAATGCAGCACCGTAATTTGTAAGGGATGATGACAATATTTCATGAAAAAAGAGATATGTTTTGAGCATATTTATATGGTGAGGTAAGAAAGAAAATCCTACAGCATCTGAAAAACCTCACTGGGAAGTTGGTATGGATTTTTGTTTGATTTGTGCATACAAATAGGTATCACAACTTGGTTTGGAAAAAATAAGCTGTGAAAAGTCTCAAGGAATAAGATGAAAATAAATCAATTATTACCATTTAGCTCTGCAAAGCTTTCCATGGCTAACACAGTAAATTTAAATAAAGCTCTCTTTGTCTCCTTCAAATAACCTGTGCGTGGACTTTAAAAAAAAAAAAAAAAAAAAAGGACACTCCAAATATCCAATCAACACATTCTGAATACAAAATATTCAGTGAAAAATTATTTTCTGAAGTGATGTTTAAAATACTCGTGAAAACATAAATAAAGGTGACAATCTAAGTAGGATTTAGGACTCTGAAAAACCTGGTTTTCTAGATTAGTCATCACTGTGAAAAGTGTGACTCTATTGGCATAACCATCACTCAAATGTTCCCATAAATCGGCCCTATGCCACCTGTACAAGACAAATTCCTTTTCGCCTTCTTCATGGAAGTTTAGTTTGGTTAACAGACAGAAAGATGTAACGAGCCAGGGTCTCCCTTGTAAGATTCTTGTGACAAAGAAACCCTTCCTCCTCATAAAGGAAGAGGAAAAAGTGCAACATCCACAGAGATTTATAGCGATTAAAAGAAACAATTCCACTGACTCTTGCTTGTAGGAGTGTGAAATGATTTGATTTGTTAGATATGGATGCGTTGCTATATGTGAATTTTTATCAAATGATCATAAACCTATGTCCTTGGAGTTCATAATATAATACACTCTTGCCCATTTCCATGCTCACCCACCCCATGAAGGAATTTCTTTTAAAAGATGCATAACAATCTTAAGTGAGCATATACTACGTGCCAGGCACTGTTCAAGGTCCTAGGGAAATACAAACAAAACATGGTCTCTGCTACAAAAAAAAAAAAAAAAATCTCACAACCTAGAACTAACAGATAATCACCCAGCCTCTACTAGCATGTTTCTGGTAATTTGGAATTTCATCCTTGGGCAGTTATAATTTTTCAAACAATTCTTTCTCATATCAAGGTGATGCTTATTTCTATGTGCTTTCTACCCAGGGCTCCTATTTTTTCTCTTAGGAGCACAGGAATAATGACTTATGTATTTAAAATAAAAAGAAGAAATCATGTTTTCCCACTCACCCCACAGCCTTCCTGCAACTCTGTTCATCTCCAAGTGAAACATCCTTAATTTCCTCATCTGTTCTTCATGTGATATCACTTCCACATCCCCCTAGCATCTGCATTGTCCTTCCTTGGACAATTTCTACTTTATCAATATATTTCTTTGAGTGTAGAGCTCAGAATTGCACAATTCTCTGACCAGCACGCTATGTAGTAGAACTTGTAGAAGGCAAGTTTAATTGAGAGCCGTCATTCTTAAATTCAAGTTCTACTTAGACCTGCAATTTTGCTGTGGTACCATGAACAAGTCATTTCATATCTCAGATCTCAGCTTCCTCGTTCAGAAGATCACTTCTGTCTCTCTATCAAGATTCTATATATTCAGGAAAAAGGCACTATATACTTTTATTATTGCTACCAAGGACCATATTAACTACTTTTATTGCTTATCCTCAACTTAAATTCAAAATTGTTTTAAAGTAAACTGCTAATGGCCAGGCGTGGTGGCTCACGCCTGTGATCCCACTACTTTGGAAGGCCGAGGCGGGTGGAACACCTGAGTCCAGGAGTTCGAAACCAGCCTGGTCAACATGGCGAAACTTTGTCTCTACAAAAAAAAATACAAAATGAATCAGGTATGGTGGCGCCACCTGTAGTCCCAGCTACTTGGGAAGCTGAGGCAGAGAATCACTTGAACTGGGAGGCTAAGGTTGCAGTGAGCCAAGATCGCGCCACTGCACTACAGCCTGGGTAAAAGAGCAACACTCTGTCTCAATAAATAAATAAATAAACTGCTAATATGCCATGTCATTCCCTCATTTACTCATTCATTCGTTGTACATTATTTATTAATTTAGCAAGGGCCTTCAGTTACCAGCACCATGCTAAGTTACAAAAAGACAAAGATAAATAAGGCAGAGTCCCTGCCTGAAAGGAGTTCACTATCAGAACATCCCAGCTCCTTGCTTCAGAGAGCTCACAGTCCTGTGGGGAAGACTGAAAAGTAAATTAAACAATTATGAAGAATGTGACAAAGGCTCTGATACTGGTCAGCTCAGAGTGCTTGGGGACCCGGAAAGAGGAAGTGCAAGGCTGGGGGGGTGTCCTCTTGACAGTAAGTTACACAGAATGACTTCTTCATTCTCCGCACATACTCCGACTTCTTGCTTCTGATATTTTATGCACTCCTCATGCTTTCTTCACACCCTTCTCTTCGCAAAACCCAGAACAAATAACAGCTTATCAGTGAAGCCTCTCTGATTCCCTTGGCCATCTTCCTAATTATCTCATAGTGCTTTTCATGTTGTTCCCTCATTGTCCATGCAAGTCTGTTTTTCCCTTAGCAAAGGAGCAACAAAGAAACAGAAAATCAGTGCCTTGCCAATTGTTTTTGTTAGTTTAAGAAACATTTACTGGATCCCACACCATGCCAGACACTATTCTAGGTACTGTGATGTAGCAATACAGTGCCTAACAGGTCTCTGCTCACAGGCTCACATTTCAGCAGAGGAGGTGAAGGTGGATGTGGGGAGAGGGTTCATCAAACAACAACAACAACAAAAACTGCAGTTTCAAGTTCTACACAAAGAATTAAAAATAGGACAAGGTGACTGGGTAGTGACTGAGGACTGGGTGCCTCCAAAGTGAGCATAATGTTTAAAACTTGGGCTCTGAAGCAAGGCAGATATGACTGCCAGTCGAAGTTTCACTTTACTAACTAACCTTGGACTAGTTGCCTAACTTCATTATGCCTCATATTTTAAATGGAGAGAAAAATATCTTCCATGTCTAATATGACTGGTTTGAGAAATGAACATGACAATCCATACTTGTGCTCAGAATAGTGACATGCACACAGTGAACTTTCAATATATGGAAATTATTTTATAGGGATTTGATAAATAAGTGTCGTAAAAGTAAATAAATGAGAAGAAACCATATTTCATCAGTTAAATGTTGCATCATGGGAATCATATGGTCACAGTTAGAAGGAATCAAGCAATCATCTTTACCCAAAAAAAGCATCTCTCATCTCTTTGAAGACAAGAGAGCTGGTTTTGGTTATGGAAAATAAGGCAATATAGAGTTAAGAAACAATGCAGCATCTCTAAATCTCTTTTTCAAATGGGTCCACTGGTATTGTGTCTGAATAAAAGGGAGGTCATTCTGCTACTTTAAAATAGATCTATCCTGATAAAGCACATACCATTAAACCTCTTGTGTGTTTTCAGACAGGGAATGAGTGAGTCAATATTGCAGTGACTTTGCAGGATCAAAGTCTTTACTTGCATGGATCCTGGAGAAGTCAGTGCAGACTATTGAAATATGACAGAGATGATCTCTATGTCATATCAGCCTCTCTACTAATGTTTATCTTCAGATGCTACTTCCCTTTGCCAAAATTATGCAACCCCTGCACCACCTGTTGCTCTTCCCCAGTTAGAGTAGACATGTTAGTTATATAATTAATCATCTGGATGTCAATGATAAAAGGTTTTTCATTGAATTAATTGATATATGCATACCATCATCCTCAGGAAGCTCACATAAAGGATGGATAAAGGAGAAACAGAGGATGATACAAAGTAATGGGGTTGGTTTTATAACCAGTGCATAAATAAACAAATGAATATGACCCTTCGAAATCAACATCAGGAAGTTATGTGGGATGTCCCACCTGCTACCCAGCACATTCAAAGCCTCCTTCCAGCCTCACTGTGGACAGAAATCTACTGATACCTCTACTCTGGGTATGGCACCTTGGTTAATATCTACTGCCAGTAATACTTAATGTGTTGTTTTAACTTGAATCTTTGGTACATTTTTAATTTTTAATTAATTTTTACTCTTTCTCTTACATCAGGTAAGAAATGAAGAATAAAATATGTTCTTTTATTTTTCCAAGCCAAATTTAATCCAGGACAAGAACCTAACTCAGAACTAATGAGAAGTCCCAAATCAGGTATTATAGGGGAAAGGGAGAGAGGGATAGGAGCAAAGTCTGGCCCTCTGTTCTCAGTGGTCCCATTGTCGTGGCTAAACCTCCCTGTCTTCCTGATCCATCACAGGCACTCCCCACACAGGCGGCTCAGCCGTGGTGATCATCCTGAGGCAGCGTCTATCAAGACCCACATAGTCAAACCCATTCTTCAGGCTTTATTTTGAGAGGGCTTTATTCCCTTTCTCTCTATGGATGTCTCCCCTTATTGGACTTTCTCTCTTTCTCGAAATAATAACCACCTCTTTTTTCTTCACCTCATACAATAGCATCCTCCATTATAGCCCTTCTCTGCCACAATCTAGCTTCATTCTTTTCCATGAACTTAGACCTTGAAAACAGAGGCCTTTTAATGAATCAAAGACATGAAAACAAAGCACAGAATTATGTCCCAAATTATCACGAAGTTCATCAAATTATTAATAAATATATTACATACATAACACTTTATTACTTTATTCACTGGCAAAATTAGCAAATATAGATAAGTCGGAGGCATAAAATAATATCATCACCAAAAGAAAAGTACCATGGTGTTTGTGTATATCATTTCAAATAATTTATATGAATATATTAATATATGTTGAATTTTTTTAAGACAAGAAAATAATTTATTAATAAACTGAATCCTCACTAAAGAATAAGCTATGAAGTTTGATAGTTATTAAGCATAATTTGTCCAACTACACATATACAGGGTAATTTCTGTGTATATTTCAATCACTCTTAGTTACGAGTCAGTGAGGCCTTTAAAGAATTTAGCTGAGGATAATCTCTATTGCATTGCATCTTTACCTTTCCTTCCATCCATCTCACATACTACTTAAAAGGGGCCTTTCGTCTTCACACTTTCATGCCAGTTGAAGGCATTCTCAGTCTCATGCTCTGCATCTGTCCAAAGTGTACCCGTAAAGCATGGAAACCTTATTGACAGTTTCTCCCTAAGTATCCCTGTGTCTAAGTCATATCTACGTAGATTCAGAGATGCTAAGGCAGTTTTTCCCCCCACTCACTCTAAGGATGCTTTGTTTCTTCTCTTTTCACCTTGTGGAG